TGGGAGGGAGGGCGGGCGAGGGGGCTGGACAGGTGTCAGAGGATGGCACTCCCTGGAAGCGGGGCAGGGAGGATACCTACGTGGAGGGGCTGTCGAATCCCCACCACTCTAGGCTGTTTTTGAGACAACCAAACCCATGCATTGAGTTTGGAAAAAAACACATGCTAAACCCCAATACATCAAGGATTTCCTCTGCAGAAATAAAAATAATGACCCAATTCTCCCTTTCTTTGTCCTCCTCCCCATCCCAGGAGGCTTATCATCAATATAACCTGGAGACATGGAAGGGAAAGGCTATCGGCTCTGCAAGCTAACAGCACGGGCTAGGTCAGGATCAGGTTTCCCGTCCCTGCCCAATACACCATGCAACAGGCAGGCCTTCCTATAAGGGGGGAGACGGGCGGGGAGAAGGCAGAGTACACCCTGGGAACCACCTCCCATCCCTCCTTTCCCCACAGGAGTTACCCATGGTCCCTACCACCCTGCCCACCCTGCCTGGGACCCGGTCCCACCAGGGCCCGCCCACCCACCGATATACTCGATGGCTTCCATGAACCAGGAGCTGATGTCGGCTTTGTGGTTGTCCTCCACGGGGATGCACTTGTACTGATAGTGCCCTTCGAAGTGGTTCGGGCAGTCAGAGGAGACGTTTTTTTAGGGCCGTGATGCCCAGGGCGTCCAGCATGTCCCTCCGGGCAGCATGGTAGGCACTGCCGAGGTAGAGGAAGGGGAGGATCTCCACCGGACCCCCCTGCACCAGAGAGGGAAAACAGGCCCCCAACATCGTGAGCGCAAAGCAGGCAGGAAGAGGGCCGGGGCGCTTGGGACGGGGAGAGGGGCTTTCACCGCCCTGGGGAGAACGCCTGGACACAGCCCTCCTAGGCTTCCCCTCATCCTGAGGAGGCTCCTGAAGGGAGCGGTGGCCCAGTAGGACTCCTCTCGCCTTTACGTTGCCCTCTGCAGAGAAGCCAGGACAGGAAGGCCTTGTTCAAGCAGCCTCCCCCCTGATACAGGGAGACAGACACAGTGCTGGCTTGTCCACCGTTTGTGACTTTAAGAGCTTACACCTGCCCATCACCAAGCTATCTGTTGGGTGGTTTAGGACTTCTTAGGTTGGATACTTCTTCACTTGTTACGTCAAAAATAGATGGCATGCCGGCCTCACAGACAAAAGGAGGGATCTTGGCAAAATTAGGTAACCTTGGCTTAAATGAAGGACGGTTTCCTAAGCAATCTGAGATTTGGGGAGCAGAGTTGCTGGGTTCCACAAGTGCACCCCTCCCCATCTACATGAAAAGGGCTGGAAGGGATGGGCTTTTAAGAAATGGAATGGCTTTTGCCCGTTCTCTTGGGGGAGAGCTGGCTGGCCATTTATGTCATTTATAAGTGGGGGCAGCCTGAGTGTTCTGGACGGGGTGGGGTCCACAGGCCACTCCTTCAAAGAAGGGTGTTCGCTCAGCTTCCTGCAGGGCAGGTCCACACTTCCAGCCTCAGCAGCCTCCTTGTTTGTCTACACGTAACTCTAGAGACTAATAAGGGAGGTAATGTCTTTTTAAATGTTGTTGTTGCTAATCCTCACCCAAGGATATTTTTCCATTGATTTTTAGAGATTGGAAGGGAGAGGGAGACACAGAAACATTGATGTGAGAGACACATCAATTGGTTGGCTCCTGCATGCACCCTGACCAGAGCTGGGGAACCTGCAACCAAAATACATGCCCTTGACCGGAATCAAACCCAGGACCCTTCAGTCCGTAGGCCGATGCTCTATCCACTGAGCCAAACTGGCTAGGGCAGGAGTTATGTCTTTCTATTTTTTTCTTAAGTTAGGAGAGTAAGAGAGGGAAGAGGAAGAATTCCAAGGAATAACCTATTCCTAACCTACCTTACAACCCATCCCAATATCCAAAGCCTCTGAAAGCAGAACTCTGAAAAGAAGCCCCCACACACCTGGTCGTGCAGTGGGGTTCCACAGGAGCTGCAGCCCAGGTCCAAGGACTCGGCCGTGCTGGGGGGCACTGCGGGCGGGATGGCTGCCAGGGCCTTGGTTTTGGAACAGAATTCTGGATACTCGGAGGAAAACCTCTCATAGCCACCTGTGAGGAGAAAGAAGTTCAGGTTAATGGGGTCCCTAAGCCAGCCGGAACCACAAAGAACTTGAACCCTATCCCTGCACTGAGTGAGGCGAGCTGTCTCTGCATTTACCACTGGGTGGCGCTGTGGGCCCAGAGAAAATGGCTACGGAGCCTTTTCCAGAGATGCTGAGTCCACGTTCAGGGATACAGCCACACAGAGGAAGATGTGCAGGGGGCATGCAGAAGGACCTCTTTCCAGAAGGAGCCCCTTAGGGTGAGGACAGGCCAAGGCTGCTGTGGGTGTCCAAAGGCACAAGAAACCTGCAAAGGTGTCTGTCTTTCCCCAGTTTAGCCCTTCCTTTGGAGAGCTGCAGTGGGGGGAGAAGGAAAAAGGTTACTCTGGCACGAGCCCTTCTGGATCCCGGCAACAAAGCCGATGCCAGTTGACCACCCTTGCGAACAGCTGTTCCGTCGACAAGGGGCCAGAACAAGAGGAAATGGGCTTCAATCTAAATAAACCCCTCTTGCTACACACACAGGTTTGGGGCAAGGGAGGATTTCCTGACCTGAGAGTTGCTAAGCCCTGGGATGGTTATCTGTGAGATCACCTTCCGGGGAAGGGAGATCTTTTCACTGAAAAGAGCTAAACATGTGGGATGGTGTCCGGGCAGAGGCAGGCAGGAACCCACTCCGAGACGAGAAATGCTCAGCCTGCACTCAGATCCCGTGGCTTCTGGACGGGGCTCTGCAGTAACGTGCCAACTACTGTCAGTGTTTGGCCCTGCTTGTGTTTTCACTTTGCAGTTTCTGTAGGACCAAAGATGGATTATAAATTAATTCAATAGATGAAGGGGGATCAAAACTTCTAGTTGTAAGATAAATGAGTCCTGGGATGTAATGTACCGCTTAGTGACGATAGCTATTAATATTGTATTGCATATTTGAAAGTCGCTAAGAGACTAGATCTTAAAGTTCTCATCGCAAGAAAAAAAAAATTTTAAACCCTAGACAGTGACAGATGTTAAGCAGACTTATTGCAGTGATCATTTAGCAATAGAGTCAATATCGAATCATTATGTTTTACACCTGAAACTAATGTTACATGTCAATTATATCTAATTTTTTAAACCATAAATTTACTTAAAAATAATTCAGTAGGGCCTGCCTGTTGTGGAACAACTATTCTAATGGACCCCTTGAACTGATGGTCACGTGTGTAGCTAGTACCTTTAAATCCTGGTGACTCAGTGACCTGGTGCCACTGTTCCCTGTAACATTCATCGTAACCTTCCAATATGCTGACATGTGATGGTTAGTCAATTTCTTGCCCAGAATTCCAGCCCTAGAAGCTGCTTCAGAAAGGAAAGGACATGATTCTTTGCCACATCATACGGCTTACAGAAACAGGGCCTGCACTTCTTCCTCCCTGACCGGAGGCTCTGTTCCCCTCCGCTGCCTCCCGCCCTCATGGGGATAACAAATGGCTATCTCTCCAGTCACAGGCACCTGCTCCTGCTGAGTCATAATGACCAGCCTCCCTGGACAGACAACCTGCGGAGGGGCCCACCTGTGCTGCCAGTTTCAGTGGTTGGTGGCCTCAGCAGTGACCTCATCACAGGGCAGCTCTCCCTCCCCTTATCACCCCCATCTGTCCCCTCTTCCTTATAAAGCTGCCAACACCGCTGCCCCCAAACATCTGAGACGGGAAACCTTGTAAATGCTCCCTCCCCTTCGGAGAAAGTAGGAAAGGAAATGGATCAGTCAACAGACCATGTTGAACACCTATACAAAAAGTCAGCACGTGGCTCGGCCAGTGTTGCTCAGTGGTTGAACGCAGACCTATGAACAAGGTCGAATAAAGACTCTTTGCTTTAGCATCGGACTCGGCTGGCTCCCTGGTGGGCTTTTGGGGGTCTTGAAATCTGGGCATAACACTGAAATCAATAAAAATATATTTTTAAAAAAGAATGGTCTTCCCACTGTCGAGAAGGTACAGGAAGGGCACCAGACTGAAGCTCTGGAGGGGACATAGCCTTTGCAGTCAGAATCACGGGCCTGGGGCCGGCACCCAGCCGCTCTGAGCTGCTTCCTCATCCATAAAATGGGATGGAGCACCCACGCCAGCAGTCCTCGCAGGACTGACTGGGACAGCCAGTGCGCGCCTGGCCTCAGGGAGACGCAGAAGGAAGGTTCCTTTCTGGGCACCTACGAGGGGACCCCAGCATTCCTGGCCACTTCCCAGACTTTGGGCCCCCTTCTCCTCCTGGGCCTCATGTGTTTTCCAGATGGAGTCTTCAGACCCGACACTCAGCCAGCAGAAGGAGAGGTCCCGCACTTCAGGGCTAGAGGCCCTCCCGGGCCTGGGACATCTGCTGCCTCCCAGGCTCCGTCAACCGGAAGGTGCAGAGAACCTGACCCCAGGGGTGTGGCAGGTGGGGGGACAAGACAGAGGTGACCCAGAGGCCAGACCCGAAATGGTCAGTAAAAGACACTATTGGAACAGAACAGAAACATGCTGAAAAGTCAGTGCCCTCAGGCGGATCTTCAAAGAACAAGCAGAAAGGGAAGAAGCAGATCAGCCGGAGGGACAGGAGCACAGAAGGGCCACATCTGTGATGGCGGCAGCAATGAAGGGGGTTTTCACTCCAGAGCTGTGGCTTTTGGGGGTCCGGCTGGTTGTTACAAAGGAGGGCCTTCTGCGGGGCCAGTGGCTATCCTCGGGCCGGAAGCATGCAGGCGAGTGGGGTACATGGAATCGTGCACGTTAGGAACCTCCAAGTCTACCCTGCCAGGCCACATCGCAGGAAGTCGCCTCTGGGTATCAGATCTGTGTTAATTAAAATGATGGGCACTCTTGAGAGGAAATGCTCACCATGCCAGGCTCTTCCCATACATGTGCCCAACCAGCAGCCCTTGAGGAAGGTGTGGCTAGTTCCAATTTTACAGAAGAGGAAGCTGAGGTGCAGGGCAGCCCCAGGAAAGGGCACAGCCAGCATTCAGCCCACTGGCCTCAAAGGCGGCTTCTAACCAGCTGTCTGGAGCCCACCCTGCTGCTCACCCAGCTCTGCCCTCCTGGTGGTCCTCCTCCAGGGCACGGCCTGCTTGCTGGTTGCAACATGCAAAGACACCGTTTTCATGCAAAACTCCCCAGCAGAACACTGCTGGCATTTCACTGAACCCCACTTCTTTCCAGCGCTTTCCTACCTCCGGGTTGTCATGAGTAGCTGTGACCAGCCTTTTAAATTTCACGCAATAAAATAGAAACTACTAGAATGCACTGGGATTTAAAGACGCTATAATTTCACGGAACTCTGGTTTCAGGTGTGTCTGTATCCCTGTATTGGGTCAGGATGGAAATGAAAATAAATTCTTACTGTCAGGGGTGGGGAGGGTCAAAATATGCTCCCCAGCTTCCCAGCGCCTCCTCTCCACACTCCCAAATCCACGCAAACACCAGAGCCACAGCCCTGTCAGAGCTTAATTTAAATTGCCAAGTTTTATCCAGAACTTAGGAGAACAAGGGTTATTCCAACAGGACACCATGGGCCAGGCTGGAGCCCATGCCTCCTGCAGGTGCACAGAGAGGGCAGGGTGCGGGCGCCAGTGGGAGCTTGAGCAAGCACACTCTCTCCTCGCCCTTGTGTTCCCGCCCTCAGAACGGAAGGATTTCAGACTGTATCACCTCTAAATTCCTCAATTTAATTATTTGCGAACTACAAACTGACATTACGTGCTCAAGATCTTCATTGTTATCTCAAAACAATTTCATTACTGATTCCACCTGCTTTCTCTATGCCCTAGTAAATGTCATCCCATAATCGACTCTGACTCATTTTGACCTGTTTGTTTCTTTCATGTTCTTCTTTAATAATATGCTTCCTAGTCTTAAAGTTCTGATTTTCTCATCTTACGTTTAAAACTGGAATGGTCTGGTTTTGGGGGGGCGAGGGGGGGGAATATAATTTCTCAGCCAACTTCCTTCGGGGACATTTCTAGTTCAACTCTGTGCTCTCCTTTTTCTCTCACACTCGCACAGCAATGCACGTTTCAGAGTTTACTGGCAATGATGGCCGACTGGCCTCTGTCCATGCAGGGCTGGGAGAGTGTGTGTAGGGCGCTTCAGAAAGGACAGGCTGATGGGTGCTGATCCCATCACCATAATAGGGCCCTTAATGGGGTCTGTGATGGGGAAGACTGACCCTGGGGGTGACCGGGGTCGCCAATGTTAATGTGGCTGCTGCTTTCCCCCGGTAACACTCAGCATATCACCCGTTCACAGTCAGGGCTCGCAGCCCGGCTCTCCAGAGACATCCTATCAATACGAGGCATATGTTGCCAGCAAGAAAGTCTGAGGTCATTTGAAGGTCATTTGGCTTTGAGCACTTCCCTTGAGGTGGGTGTTGACTTAGTAAGCACCCATGGAATGCTGAGCAGTTTTCAGTTATTAAATTTTACTTAAGTGGACTTCTCACCACAAAGCTGCCTGTCCTGGGACAGCTGGCTGACACCTGAGGCCCCAGTCGGCTGGTCTTGTCTGTAAGTCCTTCCCAGTCCTGTTTTGTCTGCTGCGTTCAGCAAGCTGGCTTCCGTTCCAGAGGGAACTTTCCTTCCTGTCAAACTTCCTCTTTGTTAGGCGGGAACTGCCTCCCAGTAAGGAAACCAGCTATCTGGTTTCAGATGTCCTGCCTTTTTAAAGAAATGTCTTGGCTCCTTTTTTAAAAGGCCGCCCTCCTCTCTCCCTCCCCCAGCGTCTGTGCAGCCCATCTTGGTGGGTGCAGCCCAGCTCTCTTAGAAGCATCAGGGACAAGCCCCAGGGAGCTATGATGGGCTTAGTAAGGATGATGTTTTCACTCTCAATTTACGGGGAGACACTGTCTGTAGTTACTTTTGTGTTGGAAGCATCCAGTTCAGATGATGCCAAAAGTAGTGAGTTTGCTTCATTCGTTGTAACTCTAACAAATTACAATAGGGGGTAGAAATTATCTTTAGGGCCTACCCTTTTTTTGTTTTTGTTTTTTTTGTAACTCTAAAATCCTTGGCTGTCACAGACACTGTGTCTTATTTGTAAGGAGAAAAGCCAGTCCCTTTGTGGGGACCTGAGATGGGCTGGACAAGTGGGGACAGAGTGAGACCAGGCAGGAGACAGTCACCAGAGCTGCCAGGGCTGCTGGCTGAGCCCCATCACGCCCACAAACCATTTCTCTTTTGCCCTCGTGGCTGTTTTCTGCAGAAAGTGTGATATCAGCCTCTGAATGGTTGGCCAGGCCTGGGGCCCATGGGGTCCATGAGTTCCAACTGGGAGTGAGAAGCTGGAATATCTGGTGGATCCTCCCACTTTCTCAGCTTTTATTTAAGAACCTGAAGAACTGACAATGGTCAGGGGCTGAGATGAATTTTAGACAGGATAAGGGAAAGATAATGTTTTTATACCTGAAATTTACGCATAACAGACTGGTGTGTTATTTGGGGAAGATGGGAGGTAAGGAATGACTTCCATTAGGATAAAAAAATTCTTTTTTTGTCTTTCTCTAATGACCAAGGTGTGTGTGGGGGTGGGGGGGGGGTGTCTAAAACCCTAATCCAAGGATTTATGAAGGAGAAAGGGATTTGGAAGGAGAGGTTTATTGTAAAAAAAAAAAAAAGCTGAAAAACTGAAACTTCTAAACTGTCCTTGAAAATGCCTCATAGGATTTTAAATAAACTTAGCTTTTTAAAAAAGTTTACCCCAATGGGAATTTTACTCGCAAAAAAAAGACCAGAGAAATGTAGTGATTTGGGTTCTTGCTTTTAGCAAAACTTGGCAGCATTTTATTGGTATTAAGTAAAGTTTACTCTTAACTCCGAATTCTTACCTGTGGTATTAGTTATGAACCACCTGCAACTGCCCGGTCAAAGAGACAGAAATAGAAAAATCAAAATTTTAAACATAATTATAATTGGTAGAATTAAATAGCCTTCGGCCAGGAAGGATAATGTAACTTCTGAACATACACCCTGCTGTTTTTATGGTCCCTCCGGGTGGCGGACACCAACAACTGGATGGCTGGCTTCATGTCTAACCACGTGTACTCCACACCCAGCACCACACAGGACGCGAGACACACTGAAAAGCCCATGAGCTACAAAATACGATGAACTGCTCCACTGGGAACCTCATGACCCAGCCCCTAATCAATCCAGGGATTGACTAAAGCTCATCTAAGGCTGTTTCCGGTGTTTCCCTTCATTTCGTTCCCTATCCCACCCCACAACCTGCATGGCCTCCACTCTGCTGCCTTCACCTGGGGGTGCAGGAGGCATCCATTGCTTTCCTCCCCCAGACAGCACCCTCCCCAGGGGCGTGGGAGCAGAGGCTGCCCAATTTCTTTCTGTCCTCAGGGTGAAAGCATTTCCAGGAAAAGGCGAAGAGAAGGAAGAGGAACTGTGTTAAGAGGGCCTCAGCTTAGCCCGTACATGACAATAAGCTCAGCGGAACAGAATGTGACCCAGGTGACAACCTCCAAGACAGCCTGCCAGCGCCACAGAACCAGCTGGAAGAGAAGGGCCCCCCTGAGAATGAATGTCAGGCCTGGCTGCCAAAGGCAGGCTTCCTCCGCTCATGCAGCCCAGGCCCCTCCTGGCTACACCCCTGGCCTGCTCCTGGAGAGACAAGTTGAACCTGAGACCCAGGCCCAGACACTCTCCATCTCTGAGGGTGATCCTCCCGGCCGCACCAGGTCCGACAACAGGAGGCAGTGCAGGCCTGGGAGGCAGCAGCCCCTGGAACGCTGCTTTTCAGAGGGCCAGGCACCTCGACAACCGCCAGGGGACTGTCATTTTACCCAGAAGCTCGGGTCCTACCGAGCCTTTACATCAGCATTTGCCTCCTGCAGAGTGGCTGGTCCGGGAGGCGTCTCTCTCTGGGAATAGGTCTGGCTCTGGGCTCTCCTGATGGGGTTGGGGGACCCAGGGAGGTGCCGCAAGCCGGAGGAGGAAACCTTAAAAATATGCTTCCCTCCCCGGGAGAGGGGGGCCTGAGTGTCTGCGCGCCCGCCCGGAAGCCCAAGGGCCAAGGTCCCCAGCTGCCGCTCTAGGGCGGTCCCCTCCGGATTTCTTCCAGGAAGAAAAATAAAACAAAACGAACCCAGACTCCACGTGGGTCTGCCCTCCCCCGAGAAGGGTTCGGGGTTCAGAAGCCCCCGAGGGAGGCACGCGCGGCGGCTCTAAATCAGGAGGAGCCCCAGGGCAGCGCAGCAAGGAGCACACCCGTCCACCCCCGGCCACGCGAAGGGACTTTCGCCCCAAAGCAGCTTCTCTTATTGTTCCCTCCAGCGCCAGGCACGGAAAGGCTGGCGTAT